TCAATAGTTACAATTATAGGATCTATACTAATATAAATAAAAATTCAGTCAAAAATGCCTAAATTATTAATTTGTTATCAAACACATTTGTATGTACAAAGTACGAACAATGTGTAAAACAATGTGTATTGTGTCTATGTTTTCTCCGCGGCGCGTGGTGGGGGTATTATTTCTCCTATGTGGGGCAGCTAACCTCGGCTTTTCTCGGCTTCTTTCGGTTTCTCAACACACCGACACGTAACATTTCGTTGTGTGCGAGGCGTGCTGGGCTCGAGAGAAGGGGTAGAAATGTTCTACGATCTGGCTTCACTGGTGTAAACAGATATGATGTTGATATATTTATACGTTCATAACGTACATTTATTATTTAAATATCAAATTAAAGCTAATTTTTTTTGTTTATTATGATGTACAGTTGCTTAATTAAATCTGGCCGTAAATAAGGGTTGCTGGCTATTAAAGATGGTAAATATTAAAGGTAGAGTGAGAGGAAGTTATCGCGCAACATCACTTGTCAGACGAGGATAGCGATTGTCAGCTGTACGACACTTTAAAGCCACTGCGCTTGCGTCGAACGCTAATGTTTTCAATTGAACAGCTGCGACATTATTATTCTAACCACGTTGTTTTGAAGTTCGTAATACACAACGTTATATATATATATATTGTTGTTATTTTGTAAAAGATGAAGACGTGTTTTCTGTGTGACAAAAAGTGCAATGTACTTGACTTTAATAATGCATCATTTAAAAAGTGTTCGCTAATGTTATTGTTTCGTCGTAAGAAAAAATATAAATATCACGACATTTCGTTAACAACTAAATCTACCAAAAGTTATGGATATCATAGAGTGTGTCTACAAAAAATTACAGTTCTAAAGCAAAAAGATAAAGAAGAATTCGAAGATTTTTGCAAAACACAAACCGTAAGTAAAATTTTTAATTGAACTTAAGAATAATATAGGTTATAGTTACGATATAAATAATACAGTGCTAACTTTGAAGTTTTTTTGTTTGTTTGTTAAAAATTATGTGTATATTTTTAAATTTTTCTTATTTTTATGAAATAACGTGGTAAGTAACTACTTACTCCTAAGAGATATTACATTTCTCAGACAAGTAGAATTTATCACGTATATTTTCATTTAATTATATCAAATACAATGCAAACAGCGATGTTGAATGAAAATGATATATTTAACAGTAACACCGTATTTCTTATAATTTACAGATTCCGAAACTCCCTTCAAATGATTCTCAGTCATTTCAAAATGTATCATCTGCTGCTACAACATCACAGCAAGAAGCTATTTCATCAACGACAATTAAAAACAAAAAGGCAGCCTGCCTTTTTTGTGACCATGTTGAGAAAAAAGTTGGTAAGAGACGAATTTATGTATCATTCCCGCAATCAGAAGCAACCGTTGAAACAATAAAATCAATGGCAACAAAATTAAATCACTCAAAACTACTAACGAAACTAGAGAATTCTCAATCTGTTGCTTATCATTCAATTTGTATGACATTGTATCGAAATTCACTGAAACGGCAATGTAAGGAACCTCAGGAGCCAAGATATTGGCACAAAAACCGACAATTTCATCAGTTAGCATTCGATTCTATTTCGGAAATGATAAAAACGGAAATTATTGAGAAAAATCGCGTTATGTACCTGACTGATTTGTTATCACAGTATAAATCATTGCTTTTGGAATTTGCTGAAGGTGAAGTACGCGCTGAACATTTACAGGACTATCGTGCTGAAAATTTAGAAAATAAAATAATGAAAGCTTTTGGCGATCGAATAACTGTAGAGTCATCTATGGGGACACCAAATAAGAAAATTGTCTATCAGTATGACATGGACACCTCAAGATTAGCTGCTGAAATAGCTAAGTTAGAATCAACTGAAAAGAATCGATGCAGAGATGTTGCTTACGAATTGCGAAACTGTATAACATCTCTGGAAAGTACAAAGTTGCCAGATTATCTAACACCACAGGATGCCATTTTTGGAGAGTGTGCTATTCCAGAACAACTTTTTAATTTCGTGTGCTACTTAGTTCAAGGACCAGATACTCGTCGTCAAAATTTAGGTGACGACTTAATGGAAATAAATACTGTGTGTAGATACCTGATTTATATTATATCCAAAGGTAAAGTCAAACCGTCAGAACATCCCATATTAGAAGAAGTTCAACATGTAGCAACTGAGAATGAAGTAAAAGCATCAAAGAAGAAGAAATCAAAAAATCAAAAAAGAAAAGTGGAAGAATTAGAAAATGGTGATAATACTATTAATGGTATTCATGAAAATGAAGAGACAAAGGAACTTGTTGAAGAGAGTAAAGAACCTGTAAAGAAGAAGACAAGAAGTTCAACAAGAAAAGTAGAGGAATTAGAAAATGGTGATACTACTATTCATGAAAATGGAGAGAAAAAGGAACTTGTTGAAGAG